ACTTCCATTGAAATTTGGATAGAATAATTGAATAAGAACTTCATCGTGCAGCACCCCAATTCGAACATCATCATCAGTTCATCACAACTACCCCATTTAACTGCCCTTAATTTTACAATCATCATCCAAATCCAGCAACCATCGAAACCTAAAACCCAAAAGCAACCGCCATCGACTTCAGTTCATGCTCTGCTTGTAAGCTCTTATCGTACTGGTATCAGACTGGTGCCCGAATCCCAATCGCGACAAACCAGAAATAGTTGACGGCGTACGATCGACCACAAAAAGGACGCGTGGACAACAGAGGCTGCGGTGCGGCCATTGCGAGAATCGGGATACTAGGCGATTAGTTCCTCCCTCCGTCGTTCTTTATACGGCGAGATCGGGACCACCGATTCATTCAGACGGTAAGGATTTCGATTAACGCAGGTAGATAACTCACCCTGTTTTGTACTGTGAGATGGAGAAAAGGGTCGAAAAGAAACAAAAGGGATAAAAATCTCGAAGCAGAGTTTCCTCCCATCACCGGCGAGCTCATTCTTTCTATTCTTCTCTGCCTCGTTCCGCCCAAGTCGTTCACGAAACATATATAGTTCTTTGTGTTTTGGGGAAAGGGACCTTGAGAAAGACCATATTTATATGTTGGATTGTTGTTTACTTTTACAAGCTGTAACCTGAAACCATGAAATTAACAAGCAAGCTTTGTCCAAATCCTCCTCAAACCATGAAATTAACAGTGTAATTAACCATGTAGAGGCTAGACCCCAGTAAGTATGGACTAAAAAGTAGACTCGATCACCATTTGGGAATATGCTCAGCGTCTCCACCGACAGATTCTTTACCTCGTCAGCGGAATTATCATGGTCGAAGTTGAGAATTGAAACGGAGAAAGTGCAGAGGGAGAATGTGGGAGTGGGAACGAAGAAGAGTCAGGACAAAATGACGGTGTTGCATAACACAAGGGTTTTTGTCTTCCCTGCTAATCGAAAACCTTCCAGCAGCAACCACCACCAACGACAATGGCGGCACCACCTACTGCCCCCTGCTTCTTCTCGATTTAGGCGCGACGACTAGTCTTCTTCTTCTGAACAATCTTCCCTTTCTTCCCCCGAATCAACGGCGAGGCCTTGTTATCAATCAAAACCCAGAAATCCCAAACGACCGGCCGGGGAAGCGGAATCGATTGATTGACGGATCTCCTCGATTCATCGTCAAAACCCAGAAATCCCAAACCGATGAACCCGAAACCCCACCAGTGTTTCGCCCAGAGGTGGGAAAGGTTGACTTTCAACGACGAATGGACTTCTCTTCATTCGCTGTTTGCATCTTTCCATCCACTGACGACCGACAAAATGGAGGTGGGAAGTGGAAGCCGGCAGAGCCGTTCTCGTTAGTGCTTGCTGTCATTGGTGGAGGGGAGAAGGAAGATAGAGGACGAGCGAGAAAAGGAAAAAGGAATTTGGGGTTGCTGGAGTAGAGAGACGATGGTGAAGTGGGATTGTAGTGATGTCGGTGATTGGGATGGTGAAGTGGGGTGGCCGGAGAAGAGAGACGGCGGAGATAGTAGGGAAGAAAAGAGTCACGAGAGCCTGTTTTCTTTCCCCATTTAATCGATTGTACATTTATATGTTCCCGCATTCACTCACTTCAGCCATGAGCAGGGGAAGAACACAAATCGAACGAGTTCCAGCGATAGAGAGAGAAGGAAAGCTAGGGATTTTGACTGGTCACTAAGAGATGACTCCTTGGAAGTGGTTTTGATGATGAACTGGTGGAAGTGGGTGAGGGTTCTGCAAATGGCCACAAATGGCTTACGGAAGAGAGATAAATTAATGACTACCTCGTGTTCTGGTTGATGACATAATTTAATCCTCAATGTAATGTAGCAAATAAAACTGTAGGAGCGTTATACAATGGCGAAAAGAAATTAGGTAGTTTAACATAAAACGTGACCATTAAAATTCGAGGGGACTATAACGTATGTATAAACAAATAGTGGATGTAGTTCGTGAATATAATTATTAATCAATAATTAATTTTAATACATTTAATATTGTACCGTTAGATTAGATCAACGGTTTAGAGAATATGTCACATGCTATGCGTCAGGAGCATACGAGTGTGACCCATATATATATATATGGTTCAGGCTAGCGTACACCAGCCGTACAGCCTACGCCTGTGTTCACACCTATAAATTAATTATTAATTATTTTAAATTTAATCGTAATTAAGGTAATTATTAATAATAAATACAATTGCAATTATAACCATTCATTAACTATTGTTCACGCTCAAATCAATCATTTAATTAGTAATTACATATAATCATAGTACCATTTTCTCCAAATCCTAAATTTAAAACACCCAAACTTTAACATTATTTACAACTGCATTGCTCCTTCAATTACAATTTACAACGCATGTCATCTGCGGTTTTGTACTTCATTCATCTAATCTCCGTCGTCTACATCAGAGGTGAGAGAGTGCTTTGTCCTTCCTAATCCTTTGTTCCTTTATCTCCCCCGATTCAGACCCGCCATCGACTTTGGATCCCCATTCGCCACATCCCCTTCGACAAAACGCGATCGTCACTGGTCAATCAGGCGCTGGAATCTCCCCCTCCAGCCATCGATTTCATCGAAATAGTACAGGGATCCCCAATCCGGCTGTCGCTTTAGTCCTTAGACACGAGCTATACAGGCTAGTCTTCGTCTTGAAGAACTCAGTCGTCCAGAGAGATCTCGATCATGAATTCCGTTTCAGTTGCTCTCGGGTCCAAGAGGTATTTCGTAATTCTGACCGTCTCGGGTAGATGAAGCGCCTGCTTTGGTCTCAGGCAAAATCCCTAACCATAATCCAATGCCATCTTGCCATCCGCAGCTCTCGAGTGATCGATCGATTAAGGCGGATAAACCACAGAGGAAGAATCGCCGGGAAAGATAACTAGTGGGAGAGGGAAGAGCAGAGGTCGATGAAATCGTCGTCCGGTCCCGACACCGCTGGATTCTTGCTACCAGTTGTCGAACTTGGATTGAATCCGACGCGGAGTGTGTAATTCGGTGGCAGCGGCTCGAATTCAAAAACGCTGCTCGCGGAGCTGGAGTCGCCGGCGGTTTCTCATCTTCTTTTATTTTTCAAACAAACTAATAAGAAAGACCCAGAGCCTAGACCCTAAACTAAAATAAAAGACAGCAATTGGGACTCGCCGCAATTGATTCTTTCTTATCGCCGCCGGCGTTATTATTCCTTGTCACCACCGACCGCCGTTGATTCTTCCTTGCCGGCGTTGAGTCCGGCTGGAAGTAGATAGTTGAATGTCATCTTCGTCAATGTCATAGTACTATAATTTATAAAGTTTGGAAAGAAATTGCGTTGAGTTCAGTTTCTCTTCTTCGTCAATGTAACCAAACGACAATGAGTCAGTAAATTTGAAAGAGATTGCAGTTGTAGATGATTGTAAAGTTTGCGTGTTTGAAAGTTATAATTTGGAAAAGCAGTATAAGTTGTACAATTGTTAGTTAAATGATTGATTTGAGAAGAATGCGTAATAAAATTGATATGCGACTAAAACGTAAACAACAATTAATGAATGTATATAGTTGTAAATAATTTTTTTTGGTAAGAGTAAATAAATTTATTAAATAGTAAATAACTTATTAAAAAAAGTAATAATTAATAGGTGTGAATGCAAGTGTACGCCATACACTAGGTGTACGCTAGCCTTTGCCATATATATATATATATATATATATATATATATATATATATATATATATATATATATATATATATATATATATATATATGGCAAAGTATATATATCAATTAACTAACACATGTAATTTCAGTTTCGAAACATATTAGTAAATTAATATAATCCGGACATCGGGCCGCATCAAAGGTAGTTGAATTTATAGAGTTTGCTCGTCAACAACATCTCAAAGCAAGGTTGTCAACCCGCGGGTTGACCCGGACCCGGTCGAGCTAGTGAGTTAAGGGTTAATGGGTCAACCATTTTAGTCGGTTTGGCCCGGAAATATGGAAAGAGTCATTATATTGTACTTATCCTCATAAATTATATCAAATCTTATCTAACATATGAGTTATAACATATAATAGTACACCAAAATAACATTTCGTACTTAGATCCAACATATAGTGAAAATTCGCACACACTTATATAACATAAATATTCAAATGTTTAACTTAGAATTCCAAAAATTGAGTTAGGCCCGTTTTTCTCACCGGGTCAGGGTCAAATTGGGTCGACCCATGGGTCAACAACCTTGTCTCAAAGAGATCCTGGATTCGAGAAAAGGAGATTAAGCCAGGGGTGTTTACGTAAATTAGGGTCCTACGAAATAAATAAAAACCCACACGGGTAAAGAAAAATAGAAGACGCGAAAGGAGGGGAAAAAGGGCAAAATTTATTTTTATTTTGTATAGAGAAACTAACAGGGTTTGGCTCCAAGAACCGATCCGAATCTACAGAATTTGAAACTTGCAGTTACATACAGAGTGGAGAACTGAGAAGGGCTCAAATCACAAGTCTACACTTCCAGCCAGGCTTCCCGGGGCCAGTTTACTGAATCGGCTCCTTGGTTCTGGTACGCTTTCGTGGTTTGCATTTTGTGAGCCTCGGTTATTGGAAAATTCTTCGCTCCTTTAGGAGTACGAATCACTGGGAAGTCGTCGAGGCATTGTTTCAGTTCGATTTCTTTCTACTCGATTCTTACTCTCTGTGCTTCGTGGGAATTGAGTCTGTGATTCAGAATCAGAATCAGGGTTTCGTTTTGCAACTAGGGTTTCGGAGGCGTTCCTTGAGTTGGGAGCAGTGCATGGATGAGTTTTTAAGTGCTGCTGGGAGAGGAAGCTGCGTAACTAAGGTCTTTCAATGAAGCTCCGATTGGCGCTTCTGTTGTTCGTTATGTGATTTGTTGAATTTGTTTCACTGGGAGTGTTTCTGGGTTTTGGACGGGCGCTAGTGTGTTGCTATTATGAACAACAATAATCCCCCTAGGAGTGTGGGGGTACCCATTCCATTTGCCAATTCTGGCTCTGGAGCAAAATCTGTGCCCATGAGTCACCAGATTCCTCCCCACCTGCTCTCTCAGTCAAAACCTCAAACACAAGGTGGGTCTTTCCAGGGCCACTTTCAGCTCCCCGAGGCACAAGCTCAGCTGCTGAACCATGCACAACCACCTGTGCAGCAGCCTGCGCACGTTCGCATCCAATCATCAACTAACCAATCTATTAGTCAGCTGCAGAGCCCGATTTCTGGTGGTGTTGGTCTGCCATCGCCTTCTGGGTCCATTCCAGCAACTGCAGGTACCAAAAGGGCTGGTCATAAACCCCCCTCTAAGGTAGCTGGAGGATCAAATCATGCTCATTCGTCTTCCCTTTATAAGGCGATGGAGTTAGCCCCTGCCCCGAATAGGAAGAGGCCGAAGCTGTCCGAGAAGCAGATACCTGCAGAAGTTGCAGCCAAGCTTCCAGAGGCTGCACTCTATGCACAGTTGCTTGAATACGAGGCTAGGGTGGATAATGCTCGCGCAAGGAAGAAGGCAGATCTTAGAGAGGCCCTTAAAAACCCTCCTCGAGTAAGGAAAACGCTTCGATTGTATGTTTTCAACACTTTTGAGAATCAAGGAGTAGGCAGTGGCGAGATGCCGACTGCAGGGCCTCCGTCATGGTCATTAAAGATTATTGGCAGGATCCTGGAAGATGGGAAAGATCCTTTGCTAGAAGGGCAGGTGCAGAAATCTTACCCAAAATTCTCATCATACTTCAAGAAAATTACCATTATCTTAGACCAATGTCTCTATCCAGAGAAACAAGTAGTTTGGTGGGAGAGTAACCGATCTACTGAACTTCACGAGGGGTTTGAGGTGAAGAGGAAAGGCAATAAAGAATTTACTGCACTGATAAGATTAGAAATGAATCACACTCCGGAGAAATACAAGCTTTCCCCTCAATTGGCAGAAGTCCTGGGCTTTGAAGTGGAGACACGTTCAAGGATCTTGACGGCGATTTGGCATTATGTCAAGTCAAACAAGTTGCAAAACCGTAATGATCTATCCTCATTCATATGTGATCCACCACTGCGAAGATTATTTGGGGAAGAGAAGATGAAGTTTGGAATGGTGGCACAGAAGATAAGTCAGCATCTTATATCTCTACAACCTATTCATTTGGAGCACAGGATCAAGCTATCAGGGAGTTCTCCTGCTGGAACTGCTTGTTATGACATTGATGTTGATGTTCCCTTCCCAGTGCAAACTGATATTTCTAAGTTCTTTGAGGACACAGGGAGACAGAAAGAGATCGATGCTTATGACAAGATAATAAGTGATTCAATAAAGAAGATACATGAGCGCTGCAGAAGGCGTGGTTTCTTTCTCGGTTTCAGTCGCTCTCCAGCAGAGTTTATTAATAAGTTTATTGCTTCTCAAACCGAAGATCTGAAGCTTATAGCTGGAGATAACAATTGCAGCACAGAAGAAGAGCAACATGCAGATTTTTATAATGAGCCATGGCAAGTATCCTATACTTCTTTTTGTGCTCTCTTTTTTTTTTTTTTTTGACCATTTAAGTATAAGAGATTAACTTGCAGTGCAAGATCGTGTTCTTTACAAATCGTAAAAGAATGCAAGACCAATAGAATTGTACTGAGTATTGTGGTTGAAATCTGTCAGGGTGGAAGATGCTGTTCTTCGTTACCTGAATCGCAAAAGTGCTGGAAGTGATGTGCCAGCAAGGACTTGATTAAAGGGTTCTACTTCTAATGTACTGTTGTGGTGGTAGAGGTGCCCACATCGGTAAGCATATCTAATCCCATCATTCAGTTTAGTTATCAGTCTTAGAGAGAGAAAGGGATTGAAGTATGTTGTATCAGTAGATTTTGTTTTCTGGGGAAGGGTTTCTTTTGATATGTTTATCTCCATCTCCCTCCCTTAGCAGCGTAGAATGTACAACATGGATTAATGATGGTAATTTCCCTTTCTGTTCAAAACTACATCAAAACATACTTATTAGTAATGAGTAATGACTCTTCTCTTCTCTGCATTGAAGTTGCGGATCTCTTCACCAATTTGGCTCCAGAAGGCCTTGATTTCATTTTTGGCTATTTGCCTGCACTGAATTTCCGAGCACCACAGAACATGCTCAGGGGTGTTTTAAAGAGGCGCTGGGCAGATTTCATCCATGAACAACTTACCAACTGCTCTAATCTCATATCTTCACTTTTTTGCTGGTTCATTGGCTGCTTGCTGTTGAACTCAGCCTTCGCCCATTTAGCTAAACAGTGGGCTGGACCATTCTTGTTCGCAAAGCTAGTGGATTATCCTGAAAACTTCGTAAGAGGTGCGGGTGATGGTGGTTCTCTCGTTAGGACTGCACAAAAAGACCGAATACCGACCCAACCAACCATCCAAACCAAAACAAGTGCATGATTGGAGCAATGGGGGTCTTGGAATGTGAAACCCATGATTCAATTTGGATTGGCTACCGTTTTGGGTTGGATACGGTATTCAGTATTTCCGATCCGACCGGCCGGTACGATAGGGTTTCCTAAACCTTAGAATCGACACACATAAAAAAGAATAAATTAGATGAAAATTTAGTTTTAAACGAAAAGACAGATGTTTACAATTGATCACATACTTTTTTTTTGGCAATGTCTATTTTTTACCCAAACCTTTTTCAGATTCTTTTATTTTAACCAAACCTATAGAAATTCTATTTATTATCCAAACGTATTATAATTTATCAAAGTCTGGGCATTCATTCTGTTACCGTTACTTATTTCGTCCACGTGAGAGGTGGGATTTTGTTTTGTTTTTTTATAATCTTTTTATTAAAAATAGTTAATGATGGTATTCTGACCGCCACGTAGGAAGTCAACTCATTATGGTCATACTTAGTCAGCATTACTGACAGAAAAGTTGATGGAGAGTTAACGTTTGGATAATTTTTAGGAATTCAATAGGTTTGGTTAAAATAAAAGAATCTGGAAAAGGTTTGGGTAAAAAATAAAAGAATCACGTACGTACTTGAGTTACCCGTGAAAGTAAACCTATGATCAACATGGTTTTATAATAATTTAATCACCTTGAAAGTGGCTAAACTATCTTGTCACTCAATGCCTTTATAATTATACGCATTGATCTTTGCAGCTCCAGACTCAACAACACATTAGACTTTGGACCACCAGTACCAAACAAGCTTGAGGCATCTCTCATGCCACACTAAATTGACTGCCATACTCAAAACAAGTCTTTCCACGATCACAACAGCAGATTCGGAACACCAGTCCGTAATAACACCACTACAAAAACAAAGTTCAATTACCTATATATCCACTTGAGTAAAATTTCCCCTCGAACACATCTGCAACATGTACTGTATAAAAGAGCATCCAACCAGCAAATGATCTCTTATCTCCGACACAACATACATACACCAGTGACACGCTTTCCCCATACTAGAAACTTATCTTGCATTTTTAGTCTATTGGTGGACTGCTAACCACAAAATAAACCCATAAGGAGGGATGATGCCTGATGCCTCGACTCCAAATCAAAGGATACCACTCTACCTCAGTCTCATGTTGCCTTAACGAATTCCGATCTATTTTAGTAGAATGCATCTTCATAACGTGTCAAATCAGGTGCTTAAGCCTAAAAACTTAAGCATATGCTTAAAGCTTTTCTATTGGCTAAAATAATTTTAGTTTGTTTATGGTAGGTTATTAGTTAGTTAGTTAGTAAGGGTAAACTAGGTATTAAGGGGAAAAATAATAGTTAATAGAAAGAGAAAATAAAAACCTAACATATTTTTCATATCCAGCCGTCCGCCAAAAGTGACCAGATCACTCCTCCACCGCCATCCCTCCATTATTCCATGATTCCATCCTCCACCTCCTCCGCCATTCCCGCCGCCGCGGAGACCCCTTTCCTCCACCACCAAATGCATCATCGAACGACACCGTCGTCCCCTCGATCGAACCCGGGCCTAGCCGCCGACGAGAGTGAGTAATTCATCACCTCCTGAAACAAACCATCACCAGCATCCCGGCAACATAGAGTGTCGCCCTTCACGCCGCCATCCCGCCGCTATCCTGACGGAGCCCACGTCCTGCGAACGTTCAACATTTATTATTTACTTATTATAACAATGGTTATGCATAGCGTTACTGATACGTCGCTAAAGTGTTGATAATTATAGTGCGTGATATTGATAATAACTCATAGTATTTTGTTGACGGGTGTATTAAGAAAAGTTAATAACAGGTGATTACGAACATTTTTCAATGATTTTTTATGTTGCTAATATTGTAAATAATAGTTTAATATTAATACTAATCATTTGTTTTGTTAAATGTTAATGATGCATCCCAGAAACATTGATAAGAGAACATAAGATTGTAGTTAGCAATGGACTCTTAATCTTTGAATTATTGGTAAATGTTAAATTTATATGATTTACGGAAAAAAACGATGATATACCATTAACAATGTTTTCATAAGTAAATAATTATTAATGTAGCATTAATAATGATTTTGTATTTTGTTAATGATACATCTCATTAGCATTGATAATATTGTATCAGATTGTTAACGGGGAGCCTAAAAATGTTAATATTTAAATTTTTCATTATTGTTAATGCTAATTGTAGAAGTGGTCGAGCGCGAGACCTAATTCCTCTTTTTGATTTGCTTTAGCTCTCCTCTCTTCGATCTGCAAGAACCCTAATCGAACCCGATGGAATCAAGTGAAGAGATCACAAAGAGGAAAAACAAAAATGTAAAAGAAGAATAAATTGGATATGTTAATTAGGCTTATCTAGTCCTTCTTTTACTCGGGCTGGGCCTTAAGGCCGGCTTTTGTTTAATCTAGCCTTTGCACCGAGCGGGTCAAACCCAACTCGAGCCCAATCACTGAATGTGGATCGTCTCCCCTGAAGATCAACTTGCAGTTCCTCTGTTCCAGCTTCAACCTGGAAATTTCAGACAAACCAATATAGAGCAGAAACTTAAAGAACACTGCAATCACACTTTTACGTGGTATCCGATATTGGGAGAATAAGTATCCCAATATCGACTAATCCACGGTAGGAGAGTCTCCTCTTGAGAACTCCTACGTAACTACTAAGATGTTTTCCTGTTCTTTTACAAGAACAATCTGAGTTAGCTAAGCTCCCTGCCTAGACTACAGAATTGGATCTGTTGTAGCTACTCCCTGTTTATACACACAGATCTCTCACAAATCTCCCTGACTTGTCTCGACTATTTTTCCCTCATAAGTTCCTGTTTGATCACACAAACTACTACACTTCGTATCTTGGAAAAACGGTGCTGACATCTTTTTTCCCAGGATTCTTTTATAACCCATTTGCTCTGCTTCTATCCGTTGTAGGTGATTTGATTTTGTTTCCATGATTGGCTGCATCTTTCCTTCTTGAGAATTACTGCTTTTTATTCTGATTGATTGCTCCGATTCTTTCCTTCATTGCTATTGACAAGCTTCCTCCAACATGCTCCCCCTAAGCTTGTCAATGGCTCATCTGCTGCTATTGATTCTCTGCACACACTTAACACACACTTGGTGCAGTCTGTTCTATACTCAATGGTTAATTGAAATGCAAAGAGGAGCCTTTTATTTTATTCCATCAAATTCTCAAGAGACACATACACAAAAACAAACTCACGCACAAAAGAGCACACTTGATCAAGACTACTTGAACCTATCAGACCACTACTTGACTCAACCACTACTGCTCCCCCTACGATGAATAGCTAACCCTCTAGAAGGGATAGTTAGGAGGTGATTCATACTCCGAGATATCATCCTCGGAGTCTGAGTCAGAGGATATGGGATCAAAGTCGTCAGGGGCAGGCATCGCTTCATCAGCATCCAAAAGCTCTAGACGTTCCTTGCACACTTGAAGTTTGGTGGTTGATACGTTTCCAGCCTCTTTTCCACGTTTGATCTCATTCTCCACTGCCGTGACAGCAGCATGAGTTAGTCCTGCAACTAATTCTCTGGTGTTACCATTTGCAGAGAACATAGAGGCAGCTACTCCCCCTGAGACAGAGACAAGCTTTCTGGTCCCGACATCAGCATCGAGACGATTCAGCACATGATTAGGACGTAGATCATCATGAATGTTGCAAACAGAAACTTTGTCACGAAGATCTATACCAAGGCGATAGAGGTAACGAGTAATTAACGGGCCAAAGGGAAGAGGACCACTATAGCTACCATTCCCAAAGCTGATCATGTGTGCAAACACAAGAGAGGCATAGCTGATAGGCTGACGGGCACGAGCATTGGATAGGATCCAAAGATCAGCAGTGTGAAGAATGTTGGTACTTGATATATCACGAGGAAGAAGGCATCTGGTGATGAAAAAATGAAAGACTTTGAGATCGTCAGGGAGGCGCCCTGCAGCCAGCCTGCTTGGAAAGGATCGTCCAATGTCACGAGTCAGTTGACTCAGAGCAACAAAGAAGTCAAATCCATGGTCTATGAACTCATCATCAAAACCAGCATGGTGACCAGAGTGAGGAAGGGCAAGGACAGAGGCGAGAAGATAAGGGCTGACCGTAACTTCATGATCATGCACGAGAGTGGTAAAAGAGTTTGAGTCAGATCCTCTACCTCGTCGAAGATTGACATAGAACTGCCTGACAGATTCAGGGCAGTGAAGGAAACGTTGATCTTCACAGAGAGAGGACCAGCCAATTCCCGAAAGGAGAGATGAGATATCCATCTCATACTTATTGAATGCAGAGGGATGAATGGTGAAGGATGGATAAATAGGGCGATCACGGTAGCAGCGCAAGTACCGATTGTGAATAATGGTGCTTCTGAATCCTTGGTTTTTGAAAACTACAGCAGGACGGAGTTGGGAGTTGTTGAAGGCCATGATTTTGGAGGAAAGGTTTTTGAGTGATGTGAGAGTGGAAGAGCCAGAATTATCCTAGATATAGTGGGGTTATCAGAACAGATAGGGAAGGCAGATCAGCCCAGCTCTCAGCCAGAGACTGACTGCCTGATTTATCGGGGGTAAGATGGAAAGAGAATAAGGTAAAGAAGGTAATTAAGATATCACCGAATTCTAAGAGATACTTTCTATCTCTTCGAGGGAGAACAGGCCGAGTTCTCGACGAATGGGCAGGAATTTATCTACGGGTAATGGTTTGGTGAATATATCAGCCCACTGATATTCAGTTCCAATGAATTCTAAATGTATTTTTCCTTCATTCACTAACTCTCGTATGAAATGGTAACGAACTTCTATATGTTTAGTTCGAGAATGCTGAATAGGGTTCTTTGTCATGTTGATAGCACTAGTGTTATCACACATGACAGGAAGTGATCCTAGTTAAATACCATAATCCTTAAGCTGATATTTCATCCATAGAAGCTGAGTACAGCAAAAGCCAGCTGCTATATACTCTGCTTCTGC